ATTTTGGAACCCCTATGGATGTCTTTCTACCCCTTTAGGATATTGTTCCTGCCCCTTTGGATATCACTAAAACACCTAATTTTTAGGAAATCTCTTAAGCTACCCTCCAGAAAAATTTAAGGTAAAAACCCCCTCTCTAAAATCCCCATATAGGATATTCAGACCTCAATAGGAGGGCTATTAAATGGAATGGCCCATTTGACTTGGTGAGTGGTGACTACCACCAAAGCAAAATAAAAGCATGCTGCCCTGCTTTACATAGAAATCAGAATAAATTTTGAAGCATTTCTACTGTTACTTGTAACGATAATCAGAATTGATGAGAAAATATGGAGTCTTTCTGTATGACTGTATATTAGTGATGTGATAGATATCACTGTTCATTAAAGGCTGAAATAGTTTGAAACTCGTGTGAAAATAAACTCAGTATAAATGTACAGTACATACCTTGATATAGAGAACAATCAATCAATATCATTTCATATTCCAGGCAACACTATCAGTGTTTATTCAGTCGCATTTGAAGCCGCATAGCATCTGATATATACGAGGGTTGCCAGAGCGAACAAAACGATGTCACAAATATGAGCGCCATACTCCGACAAATTGATACAATATGATGATGAATGTTGCATAGTTTTGTGTACATGTGTGTTCACAGCTTATATCTGAAGTATTTTTCGTAAAATTTGTTAAAACTTTGAGAATAAATACATAAACACTCAACAAAACATGTATATTTTTAAGCAAGAAAATCGTAAGCGCCAGCGCTAATTGTAGTCAGTTACTATAGACGTTGTCGTTACTGCGCATGCGATAAATCTCCAAGAATCTTGGAGATTTCATCGTATTTTACCAGGGTCTTCCTCAGCTCGCGCGCCACCACGAGGAAGACCCTGGGGACGAGGTTGGGAAAGTACAAAATACCGGGCCTTGCTTGCAGGCCCACTATCAGTTCCCTTGGGCCTGCACGCGGGCTATTTGAAATTTGATATTCAAAATAAAAACTCCTTCGATCGGATACTGTATAAAACTCGAGATGTTGTCGAAGAAAAGAAAACTAAACGACGGAGATTGTAGGAATTTAAGGAAGAAGATTTATACAGCGGCTCTTTGTTGGAAAGCATGGTAGAATATGATACTTTAATTCGAAATATGATCGTTAATATATTAGTGGCATCCTCCCCCCTGTAAATCTCAACGGTAAGGAGGCCTGGTTGCGCAGACGTTCGCCGTAGTAATTTTCGGCCTGGGCAAGTTCAATATAAAATGGGTTTTGATTTCCATTGTTAAAATATGGTCCAAAACTTGTACATCTCGCCGAAGTACCTCCGTATTTTCGAAGAACGGCATTTGTTGTACATGCTGGCGAATTGTTTTGGAGAATAAAGCGATTTGAGTGTGAGAATTTTCGATTCGAAGTGCCGAGCCATCGGATCGACGATCTGAAATAGTTAGCCTTTATCATGTTTCATGTATACTAGTAACATCGAGTACAAAGTCTCGGAAAATATTAGTCCAACAAAGGAGGAATACAAGGAGAACACACACTATCAAATAGGCAAGTCAATTTCATTTTAAAATTTATATTTTATGACATATTTTTACTATATTAAATATACATTTATACTATATGTCTATAGGCTGCGTAGCAGGCGTTTAACTGACCCTTGCGAGATTGGGCCGCCTGTGGTCGAATGGGCAATAAATTTTATCAGCTGCATCATAATGAGATAAGGATATAGCCTACAGTATATCATATCATATTACAGTAAAACATATTGACATGCATGGCATTGCCATTGGGACCGGGTGTATCACTGTATTTGTTTTAATTAACACAGTTAATCGAAATCCACAACGAGTATAGTCGAAATTATCTTCTTTATCTTCGTGGTAACATAAGCCATACTAAAAATCTCGCTAGTTGGGCAATATGAAAAAAATAAAAAATGCACAAATTTGAGGTGTTAGAAAAACACGAGCCGTCCCCCCTGGAGAAAGACAACCTACCCCCCGGATTGTTTACACCATACCTGTCTCGATTGAATTTTCCCTAACCACAATAGTTGCAAATTGAATTCTTCACTTTGCACTAAAAATCCAAAACCAACCTGGAAACTTATTAACGAATTAAACTCTCGTAATGCCTCTGGCCACAAAACTATATCCAATATCAAAGTGGGTGAAGAAACTATATATACACCCAAGCAAATAGCGGAGACATTTAATTCTCATTTTGCTAGTGTGGGTGAAAATTTAGCATCCGATATACCACTCTCTACCGTAGAACCTGACGTATACGTTGTGCCTGCTGAAACCACATTTTCAATGAAATCCCTCACTGTACCGTATATGCAGTTTACAAAAAATTAAAAGCAATTAACGAAAGGAAAGCAGCTGGTCTTGATAAAATACCTTGCAAACTTTTAAGAATTTCAGCTGAAATAGTTGCCCCTTCTTTAACTCAAATATTTAATAAGACTATAAGTACAAGCACCTTTCCTACAGACTGGAAGCTAGCGAGAGTTACTCCAATTTTTAAGAAAGGTAAAAAAGACGACATGAACAACTATCGACCAATATCTGTTATTTCTGTAGTGGCAAAGATTTTTGAAATGTTTACTTTTGAGCAGTTGTATGAGTATCTGAATAACAACAATCCAATCTCTACGTCTCAATCTGGATTTCGATCATTGCACAGTACACTAACTGCCCTAATAGAAGCCACGGATAATTGGTCAATAAATATAGATAAAGGCCTTCTTAACGGAGTAATTTTTATCGATCTTAAAAAAGCATTTGATACTATTGATCATACCATTCTTTTACGGAAGTTACGAATTTATGGCGTTGATGAAAATGGTATCAAATTCTTCGAATCATACCTAAACAACCGCAGTCAAAGATATTGCGTCAATGGTGAGTTATCTGAAACTGCTAAAATAACCTGTGGGGTACCACAAGTCAGTAACTTGGGACCTCTATTGTTTTTAATATACATAAATGATTTGCCTAATTGTCTCGACAGAGCCTCTCCAAGAATGTTTGCTGACGACACTAATATTAGCATCGCAGCAAATTCCGTCACAGAGCTTGAGCAAATATTACTCTGAATTGAAAAATCTTCATCAATGGCTACTAGCTAATAGACTTAGTCTTAACGTAGCTAAAACGGAATTCATGATAATAGGATCTCGTCAAAGATTACTAGTACATGATAACGAACACATAAGGATAGAAATCGACGGAAAGTCAATTAAGACAGTCAACGAAACGAAATCCTTAGGCTTGCAAATCGACGAGCATCTTACATGGGCACGACATGTCGAAAATATTTCCAAAAAGATTGCATCAGCTATTGGAGCTCTTAAACGGATACGCCAATTTATAGATACAAACACTGCTCTGAAAATTTATGGTGCATTAATTCAACCGCACTTTGATTATTGTAGCTCAGTTTGGGATGGTTTGAATATCACGTTAAACGACAAATTGCAAAAATTGCAAAATAGGGCAGCGAGAGTCATCACTAAATCTCAATATGATGCTACAATCATGGCCAAATGTTTGTGGAACGCAAGCTAATTAATAGGTAAAGGCGTGCGAGTTTATAATAATGTCACAGACTTCACAAAAAAAGTAACTCCCCCGGCCCCCCTTTCCAATGTTGATCCTAACGTTACTAAACGAGATTGTGTCATGCTTATTCCGAGCAGAAAACAATCCCAATCAACATTGACAGGGGGGAAGGGGGGTTTATTATTCAAATTAAGGTTAAAAACACGAAATCACACTTCACGTTCCACAACATTTGGCCATGATTGTCTGAAAATATGCGATCGGAACATTAGTTGCGCTATACGAACATTTTTTGTTAAAACTACCAAATGCCGCGAAATATACATAAAAATCTATAATTTATCAATAAATATTTTATCACTTGTGCATATTAGATAAGTGTTCTTTCTGAAACTAAACACGGCGCTAGACGGTTATATGTAATGGATAATATTATATAGACCTTATGCATGCATAATGTGTCACAAGGCTTGATGCCTATAAGGAATGGTGGTCTTAATGGTCTTCGCCCAGGAAAAGTTGGTTTGTGTCCGTTTTGAATTTTTTAATTTTCCCGGGCGATAACTACAAAGACAAGCATTCCTCGCGGTCATCAAGCCTTGTGACGTCATTATGCATAAGGCCTATTGCCCGTGCCAGACAAGCAAAGTCGCTATGGCATCCCTTGCTCAAGTTGAGGCAGAAATGCTTAAAATTCATGCACGTTCGCCTGATATAAATCCGACTGAGAATATATTCCATCTTGTGAAATCTCAGTTGAATACACAGGCAGTAACAGAGAATATCACCGGTGAATCTTCAGAAACAGTTTCAAACTCGAATTATTCAAGTAATGAGAACATTCCCTTCGACATGATTGATAAAACAATTGATAATGTGCGGCAAGCGAATACAATAGATAAAATAATTTTGTCAAAGACAAAGGGATATACAACAAAATACTGAATAATTATAGGTATATTATTAATAATAACGTATTAATATATGTAAACAATTGTCCGATAATATATTTCTTGTCAACAGTGCTCACATAATAAATCGTTCGTTATAACTTGTATCAAAGAAATTTTAACCTACATTGCATTGAATTCATCATTGTGCGAGTTGGTCTTGATACTGAAACCAAGAACGCCGTGATTCAAAGGATTTTAATACCATTTTTAACAGTGCTCACTCAAATCCAACTATAAAATGTACATTGTTTACAAACTTATGGTGTTTGTGGTGAGAAATGTTGAAAATCTTATAAACAAATTCTATTTTGCCTTAAAAAGTAATTGTAGGGTACGGTTAAACATTAATTCAACAGTAAGTACCATTGTTTGATGTTTAATGGCAGATTCGTCTTATTTCTTTACGATTTCTGAGTGAGAAATGTACGATTACGAACGTGAACTAATTAAATGCCATATTTCACAGACGGTGTTGGTAATTATTAAACCTGTCATACGTCACATTAATCGTATTGAAACATAATAGCGGAATCGTCTGCTTTCGGGCAGAAAGTTCTATTAAATCCATAATCTAAATAAAATCTAGCTATTTTCTTATGTTTTAAATAAATAAAAATATAATTTGAATATAGGAGCACTTTCAGACAATCATGGCCAAATGTTTGTGGAACGCAAGCTAATTAATAGGTAAAGGCGTGCGAGTTTATAATAATGTCACAGACTTCACAAAAAAAGTAACTCCCCCGGCCCCCCTTTCCAATGTTGATCCTAACGTTACTAAACGAGATTGTGTCATGCTTATTCCGAGCAGAAAACAATCCCAATCAACATTGACAGGGGGGAAGGGGGGTTTATTATTCAAATTAAGGTTAAAAACACGAAATCACACTTCACGTTCCACAACATTTGGCCATGATTGTAGTTCCAGCGACCTTTTTAGTAAACTGGGCTGGCATAATCTTTTAACACGTCGGGAAAAGCATAAGGCTATACTAATGTTTAAAACAATTAACGATCTAACTCCGTTTTATCTCCGTGAATTGTTTGAATCTCGCAGCACAGACTATAACTTAAGAAACTCTGAACACACCTTATTTGTACCAAAACCAAGAACCGACTACGGTAAGCGAAGTTTCAGTTATAGCGGGGCAGTTTTATGGAACGAGTTACCACAAAATGTATGAACAACATGCTCCCTAAGTCAATTCAAAAGAGCAATTGACAATTTGTTCTCTATAGGAGATGGACTCCCGCACGGCAATCTTGTAAATCAGTATTTTAGTGTTTGGATAAGTTTAAAGTGCATATTAATTGTCATAGCGTAATTTGTAATTATATGTTAGTTAATTATCTTGTAAAATGTTATACTGTAGATTTCACCGTGTTAAAATAAAGTTTTTGATTGATTGATTGATTGATTGATTGAAATATGGCCCCCAGGGGGGTTTTCCTATGAAATTTGGCCCGGGGGGGGGCAAAGTTTGGGGGGCCAAATTTCCTGGGACACTGGGATGAAGCTTGATATTAATTGTTCATAGTTGTCAACTGTCAAAACCTACAGTAGCTCATGTTTCATTCGGTGTCGGGATTTTCCGATGCGAGTACGCGGTTTTTAGCCAAAGTGGGGAACGCGTTTCCAAGTTTCCTCTGGAACGCGTTCCGACCGCGTTCCGACCACGTTCGGAACGCGTTCGGAACGCGAACGCAGTGTTAGGTTATTTCTGAGCAGTACTGTATGCTCGATCAATCTTGTTGGTTTAGTAACAACAGGAAGAAAATTATTTGCATATAACACATTTAGATATTTTTCAGTGGGTGAGTGACTGGTAAACTTCAAAAAATCAATATTAATATCACCCACTATATAAATATCATACCTATTACATTGATTTATTCACTCAAACAAACTCTTCTAAGTTAGTTGTAAATTTGTCAATGATTAATTGTAAATTTGTCAATGATTACATATACTCTGGAATTTTGACTTCAAATGTGGTACATGTACTCTGAAATTTTGCCTCGCGTGGTGTACGTGTCAGATGTATGTAAATGTATGTAAAACTTTATTTCAATACGCTAACTTCGACAATTATTTACAACTGGTTTCCACGAAGGGCGTATACACACAAAGAGCTAAATGTTAATTATATATAGAACAAAATATGTAAGAATCCCACCCTAAAATATTATCATCTTCCTCCCAAACCTCCACCCCCTAAACAAGTACCCACCCACCCTCACGCAAAACTAACCCCCTCCCGCCCACAATCTATATTGTCCTCCCATCATTTGGTCCTGGAGAAATTAGCTTATCATCTGCTTAAATGCAATTTCGCCATTGTTTTAAATGACGTAATTGACTCAGCCGCCTTGACATCTTGCGGCAGACTATTCCATAGAATTGCTCCACTGTATCCAAATGTTTTCTTTAGAAATTCCGTTTTCGGTTTTTTTAACGAGAGATCAGTTTCGCTATTGCGTAAATCATAAATATTCTGCGATGCATTTCTCCGAGAAAAAAGATCTTTAAGGTTTGGCGCAGTGTGGTTCCCCAAGACTTTATACATCAATACTAGCTTGTTTTGTTCTCGTCTCCTAGCCAGGGTTTCCCAGCCTAATTTGTTTAGGACTTCAGACGATCTTACATCGTAGTCAGCTCCGGTAATCATCCTTGCTGCTCGATTTTGGAATTTTTGCAATTTGTCTTGAAGTCCCAAACCACAGTTATCCCACAGGGGAGAACAGTAATCAAAATGAGGCTGAATTAATGTTTTGTAGACATCATGTAAGGTTTTGTGTGGAACATAAGGTTTTATTCTTTTAATTGCTCCTATTCCAGCGCTAATCTTATGGCATACAGAATCAATATGTTTCTCCCAACTTAATTTTTCATCTAGATTTACACCTAGACATTTAAATGTATTGGTTTGTGGGACTGGGATTTTGTTAATCTCAACGGCTCTATTTCCTATTTTATGATTTAGATTATGCGTAGATCCAATAAACATGACTTTTGTTTTTTTCCTATGATATTTTAGTTTGTTTTTAGCAAGCCATTTATGAATACTGGAAAGGTCCATATTCAAATTGTCAATCAATGTATCGTAATCATGCGAAGAGGAAGATATCTGAGTGTCGTCGGCATAAAGACATGGGGTTGTCCTTTCTAGAATATCAGGCATATCATTAATATATAGCAAAAACAATAATGGACCAAGTATGGATCCTTGCGGAATTCCGCATATTATTGTTCTTGCAGAAGAAGTTTGATCATTAACAGAACACACTTGCTTTCTATTCCTTAAGTATGATTGGAACCATTTTAATTCAATGTCGTGAATTCCAAACTGGGTTTTAAGCTTCTCCAATAATATCTCGTGATTCACCGAGTCAAATGCTTTACATATATCAAGAAAAACAACTCCATTTATTTTGCCTTCATCCATGTCTTGTAGCCATTGATCACACATTTGTATAAGAGCACCTAAGGTTCCATGTTTTGGTCTAAACCCGGATTGAAATTTAGACAGAAGCGCATGTTTATTCAAAAAGCTATATATTTGAGTAAAAACTTCCCCTTCAAATATTTTACTTATTATGGGAAGAATTGAAATTGGTCTATAATTTTCGCATTTACGCTTATCCTCAGATTTGTAAATTGGTATAACTCTAGCTAATTTCCACTCATCTATATAAATACCAGTTCTAATCGATAGGTTAAATATAAAAGTTATAGATGGAGCAATAAGGGTTGATGTCAGTTTTAAAATATTCGCAGGTATTCCATCCATACCTGTCGCTTTTGAGACATTTAGTTTTTGTAGGCGTTTGGAAACACTATCTATAGTAATATCTGCGAAGTGAAAATTTTCTTTAGGAAGAAGCACAGTACTTTCATAAATTACTTGATCATTTAAAGCATCAGTGCTTTGACATGCTGATTCAGCAGCCATCTTCATTCCAATATTTATAAAATATTCATTTAATGTTTCAGTAATAGATTTATCATCAGAAATAATATCATCATTTACTTTCAGTTCATTAATATTTGCATTCTTATGCTTTCTTCCTAAGAGCGAATTTATCCAAGCCCATCCACTTTTACTGTCTCCCATTTGAGAGCTTGCCTGGATTTTATCACAAAAGTACTTAGATTTTGCTTTCCGCATGTTTATATTTACTTCATTACGTAGTGTTTTATACAATTCCCACTGTGACTCCGAATCATATTTTATGGCCTTTTTTTTGTGATAGTCCCTTTTTCTCATAAGTTCTTTAATTTGAGGATTAATCCATGGGACAGGGTTATTCCTTATTCGCTTGTGGCGCAGAGGGGCATGTCTATTAAGTGCATCTAATAATAGTGATTTCCAGACTTGCCAACATAAATTGGGATCTCCAAACTGATAGACCATCTCCCAAGGCAATTGAGACACATCCCGAATGAAATCATTTTCGGCAAAGTTTTTAAAGTTACGAACCTGACGAATTTTTTGCCTTCCATTCGGTAGTGTAAATTTTCTCACAGCATAGACAAGGCTGTGATCTGAAATTCCCAGGTGAATGACACCTGATCTGGAAATATTTTCTGGTCTATTTGTTAATATTAAATCAATTAGTGTAGCTGATTTAGGAGTTAGCCTTGTAGATTCTTTAATAAGTTGGTCTATCTGATACAGAGAACATAAAAATTGCAACTTACATGTGTGAGGGTCAGGTATAGTTTTACTGACATCACAATTTAGATCTCCTATGAGGATTAGCTCCTTATCTTCATTATCACATTTTGCTAAAAAGCTTGCCCAGTAATCAAATTTATTCATAAGAGAATTTGGTGGTCTATACCATGTGCTTATTAGCAGTGATTTATTGTAGGGTAAACTTAATTCAATGCAGACCATCTCAAGTTCATCAGGGATTAGATCTATTCTATCTGAGAATGATATGTTTTGGCGAACATATAGAACCACACCACCACCAAACCTATTTCGATCTTTACGAATTATATTAAAACCATCAATATGTATCTCATTATTTGAAATCTGATTATCAATTTTGGACTCATTAATTGCAAGAATGTCAAGGGCGTTATTGTTAAGGATTAAGCGAATTTCATCCAGATGTTTCATTAAGCTATTTACATTTAAGTTGGCTATCTTCAAACCTTTACTTTTGGCGATTATGTTAATTTCACTATCTATGCCTAATAAAGAATTGCTTGGCACATCTTGACAATTTACTTGTTCACGTTCATTATCGCATTAAATGCGGCGCTCTTTAAAAAAAAATGATCTCAAATGCGGCGCTCATTCGGGGGCGCTCAATCGGGGGCGGGTACCCATTGAACTAAAAATAACTGGAACGATACCTCCAGCCGGAAATGTGAAGCCATGCCCAAGCATGCCCACTGTTGTCATGCCCAGTCTTTTCACGTAACAGAAATGAACGCGGGTTTTTTAAATTTCCAAAACTGGGTAAAAAAATGCACTAAAACATGATTTAAAACGACGTAAAATGCACCTACCAGTACATTTTTTACAATAAAAACATTCTTCAAAACTCTAGAGTAAAATATTTTTAATTTATTTGTGTAGAATTCATAATTAAATTTCCTTTTTTGAAAAAAGACGTTGAGCGAGGAGTGGAGCTTGCCGTGGTCTAATCATAAGTATTTGTGTGAATTTCCCTATTTTGCTCATTCGTTTTCCAATTTATTCGTCTGAAAGTTAGGAAAAAGGGTATTCTAACAAGATCAAACTACCAACCACAGTTTAATTATGTTTTGTAGTAGAGTATTTATTAAGTTTTAAAGGTACAAAATAACAAATATAAACATTAAAGACATTAAGAAAGTTTTTTTTCGCGGACAAGTATTTCATGTCGCGATTATTCACATTCGGCAAGAAATACACAGAACAAGTCGTCAACGAAGGCAAACAAAGTGATAGATACAGATTAAATAAACTTATCTTGTTTAACAATCAATGAAGTTGTTATAAATATATGTTTAATATGTTACAGTGAAAATACAAAAAGTGTCCCACTTCCGCTTCTGTAGTTTGTTGTGATTTACTGTAATTTGTTCTGTTTTTCTGTAGCGATTACTGATTTATCGGCAAATACCGCGATAAAACTTACTTTTTCCATTTTTAAATATGATAATTTGTAGCAAAGGGAAATAATACATTTTCCGTTAGTTTCATTGCATAAAAGGAACAAAATTTTAATTTTATCGCAGTATTTGCCGATAAATCGGTAATCACTACAGAAAAACAGAACAAATTACAGTAAATCACAACAAACTACAGAAGCGGAAGTGGGACACTTTTTGTATTTTCACTGTAAGATAAAGAATTACTTATCTTTCTCAAGTTTCATCTGCATATAAACGTTCCAGTCATTCAAATATGCACTTGTTATCTCCAATCAGTTACTTTCTTCCTTGCAATTTTAGTCGGTAGGGTTCAAGATATGTTTTAAATACACTTTTAATACAAAAATATAGCTTAAAACCCTAAATAAACGACAATTTTCGATCCATTCGTCCGAGAAAAAACATTCAGTCACTTCGTCGTAATGGTCTCGCGAGAATGTCTCGCAACACAAACGCGCGTGTCTGGAGGTAGAACACGTGCGGCTGGAGGTAAAATTTGGCTTCATCCGATCATAAGCCAATCCTATTGGAGGTAGCGTTCCAGGTATTTTTAGTTCACTGGGTATACCAGAAGCGTAACTCAAGCAAGTATTTGTCCGCGTTTTTACAAGCGATTCGTCATCAATCACGCCATCCTGGCTAGTACAACCGGCACTTTGTACCTACCAAAACCAGTGAACTCTCTCTCTCTATATATATATATATATATCTGGAATGATAACAGTGAGCGAAAAGTGAAGCGGACAAAAAAAATCACGACATAAGTATTCGTCATTGTCTTCGTCATCAACTGTTCAAGAACAATCACTTATAAAATTTGTAATTGTTTTGAAAGTTTTTATCACAGTTTTTATATCTTTATTCACTTTTAACCTGAAGATGGAGTTATACTACGAAACGTAGTTATTAAAATAATTTTTTACTAAGCCCATATGGTCTAATTTATATTCAAACACACGTACATATTCATTTACATTTTGCTAGCAGGCAAATTCCGATCACACAATAAATTCTT